TTAAATGATCTATATAATGACTAGTTGAAAGGCAATCATTCACAAAATAAAACGAAAAAAATTAAATTGATATGCTTAATATGTAAATTGAAAAAGAGAGACCAATTAATTTAAAAAAAAAATTGAAAGATGGATAGAAGATGAATGTTAAATTGACAAGAAAAAAATTATGAAAAAAAAGGAGATGAATATGGCATGAGTTTTGTTGGAAAGTGGAAAAATAAAACATGTATGTAGTTAAATATAGATAGGTAAAAGAAATATTTAATTAAGATTTTATATATTTCAAAATATTAAAATTTCAGTACAAATTATAAAAATTTTGCTTTAAATATTATATGAAATAAAAATTTTATGTTATTGAATTGAGAGCTAATTTAATGATGGAAGATGGGTTGCGCCTTAGAAAGGAAAGGTTCATGAACCATGATGGTTTGATTCTCAGAAATACTGAATGGAAGAGATCCGAAAGCAAATAATACAATCATAAATATTTTTTTTTTTATTTGAGGGTAGGCACATGCCTACCCTAGGTATGTAGCTCCTATGTTTAATTATAATAAAATAAACTATAGAAATGATAAAATAAGACTAATTGAGGTGGTGTTTAGTAAAACTAAAAATAAATTCTGAAAATTTTAAAAATTTTAATTAAATTGCCAAATAAGTCCAAAATTTTAAATTTTAAATTGAAATTTCTGAAGTATATCTTTAGTGAATTTTAATTTAATTGAAATTTCTACGTATGTAAATTCCTAATAGTTTTATTCTTTTTTAAAATAATTTTGGTATAATCTGTGTCTGATACAACTTGCGGTGGTAAAGATGAAATAACTACATTGATTCTATTAGCTTTGTAGGATAATTTGAAATTTAGATTTTATGCCTATAAGCATTTATATTTGCAAAAATGTCAATATGGATGCAATCCTTTTAACTTATTAAATGTGAAATTATTTCCTTTAAAAAGTCCCAAATAAAGTAATAGAATGAAAGCATTTCCTTTGAGAAGGAAGTATAATGCGTAAAACTGTTGAAGTCCGTGTTCAGCAGCAACAACTTTTTAAGTAGTTTTTAACTTTTTAAAATGCTAAACGTTATTTTTTATAGCATTTGACATATTATTTGAACTATTTTTTAGAGATTAAGGTAGTATTTTATAAGAAATTAATCCATTTGACATTTGATTTTTAACGTTTCATAAAAAATAACTCAAACTCTTAACAACTCAATGCTACTAAAACAGCTAACGGCTATCAAAATGGATAATTTTAGTGAACAGAATCTGAATTTCCCTCATTTTCTACGGAACATTTACTTTGAGAAGGAAGTATTTAGCGTAAAATGATAAAATGTTCCTCATTTTCTATAGGCTTCCTTCAAAATTTTTTCTCAACTTGTATAGTTTATTAAAAAACCTAATAAATTGTCCAAAAAAAAATTTTTAAGTAATCGATTCAGAGGAATCCACATAGTAGATAAAGCAAAAATTCTATCCCCAAGTTAATTATTTCAAAAAAATCTAAACTTATACAGATTAAAGTAAGCTATTAATAGGTATAAATTAATACTGATCATTTTTTTAATTCACTACAGGTTCACCAAAATTAATGAAAATAATTATAATCAAAAGAACTCGAACTTGAAATCTCTCACTTTTCATATAAATGAGAATACTAACCAGACCATCTATTAATCGACAATACTATTAATTTTTTAAAGGATCGTATTCAAAGGAGGGCAATATTATAATTTTTTTTTCTACTACATTAAATGGATGAGAGCCATGATCCTATTGATTACACATAGAATTAAATTAAATTAAAACATACAAATTGAAATTAAATTAAAGCCACAATTGACTACGTTATGCTTGAAATTAATTAAATTAAGACACCCTTATTGGAGTTAAGTCAAATTAAGACACCTTAATCATAGTTAGATTAAGTTAATCTTGATTAAATCCCACATGAAATTAAAATAAATTAAGATATTCCAACTAAAAGTAAATTAAGTCGCACTTGATTAAGTGACATTTCGCCATACTTGGAATTAAATTAAATTAAAGCACTCTAATTAGAGCTAAATTAAGTCATACTTGATTAAGTCATGCATGAAATTAAATTAAATTATATTAAAACACTCTAATTAAAATTAAACTAAGTTATGCTTGATTAGTCACATTTGATCACACTCGGAATTGAATTAAATTAAATTAAGACGTTCAAATTAGAATTAAATTAAGCCAAAATTGATTAAATCATACTTTAAATTAAATCAAATTAAAACACCCTAATTAGAGTTAGATTAAGTCATACTTGATTAAGTCATATTTAAAATAAATTAAATTAAAACACCTTAATAAAATTAAATAAAGTCAAACTTGATCGTACTTTAAATCAAATTAAATTAAGACACCTAATTGAAATTAAATTTAAATCAAACTTAGAATTAAATTAAGTCATACATGAAATTAAATTAAATTAAGACGCCCTAGTTGGAATTGAATTATATTGTATACTTAATTAAGTCACATTTGCCAAATTAATTTGAAATTAAATTAAAATATTTAAATTAAATCACACCTAATTAATTCATAATTTCAAATTAAATTAAAACACCCAAATTAAGATTAAACCAGACATCTACCCATATGCTAATCAAACCAAATGCCCTAATTTAAACGCCATCATTCTCGATCCAAATCCAACCCCAAAACATATAAGCCGACAAATAAACCTTTTCTTCTTTTGAATGATAAATGGATCGCATCGCATGTCATCACAAAACATCGTCCTTCTTTCTATATTGATTCAGGAGTGTATTGAATTAAGATTGTGTTAGATTTTAAGAGAATTATTGAGTTTGATAGAATTAAAAGATTTTTTAAAATTTTCATAGATTTCACTAAAATTTTTTTATAGAATTGGTGAGACTTTTTTTATAGATTTTGATTGACTTTGATGGACTCATAATAATTTTTATATATCCAATCAAAATTAATTTTAGGCCCTAATTGAACAAATTAAAAGGTCTTAGAGCCAAATGAAAAACTGAAAAACAATAAGGGATTAAAAAGCAAAATGCGTATCTTCTCCAAAATCATTATTTTCTTAGTTGAAAACTTATCGCCGCCAACAGTGAAAGGCCTGCAATGGCCAGCATCGTCGGCAGCCATCCCACTCCTGTTAATCGATATATTAAATGGGTTCGATAGTAGGTATCCTATCTATTATTAGTAAAAAAACATATTTTAAATAAGTTTGAAATTTAGATAACTAAATATTTGTGAATACCCTACACATTTAAGAGGTACTTTCAATGGGTTTTGAATGGATGAATGTAGTAAATATTTAAACATGTTCGAATATGGATATTTAAATAGATATCTAAACGAGTTTAAAACGGATACAGATAGTAAAATTTTAAATGTATACCTAGGTAGTTTAAAATTCGCGGGTACCGCTCCACTTTCGCTCTATTAAAGGGTGGGGTGTATTGGATTAAGAGTCAAATTTTAAAAGATTTTAAAAATATTTGGGTTGAAGGATGGATTTATAAATAACTATTTTATTCATACAAAACATTCTAAAATCAAATGAAATCAATAATTTTATAGAATTTTTCCAAATCAGCAATTTTTTGAATAATATCAAATTTTTATGGACTTTCGAAAGTCGTAATTGAATACCATAAGCTTTTTATAGATTTTTATAAAAATCTAAATTGAATACCACAAAATTTTAATAAACTCTAAAAAAAATCTAAATCAAATACCATTAAAATTTTAAAATTTTTTAAAATATAATAAACTCTTACTTCAATACACCCTCTTTACCACTAATTGATAAGCGGCTAACATGCACACAGCCACACACGCCGGTGTCTAATAAAATAATTATTTGAGACACAAAATAAATAGATGTCGTGGGTGATTGGACAATCTGATCATTCCTTTTTTTTTCCCTCTACCATTTTTAACCTCTAATTTTGTTAGAGTTACATTAATAAATGTAGAATAGAAACAACTTGTGCCAATTTACTGTATCTGATGGAATAATGCTGGAGACACTTGATCACACAAGTCTAATCCATGCCTTCATTGGTAACCTTTCTCCGTTGGGTTCATTAGATTTTGATAAGAGTTTCAATGTCCAGTTCACTTGCAACGCGATACAATTTGAATCCATTTGAAAACCAAAAAGTTATCCACAATCCTGGAAAGAAAATAATCGAAACTCGAAATGATCCGACATGAATCCCATAGACCTGACCAGATTGCCAAAGTGGTAAAGACCAAAAAAACACCGACATATTATGATAGGTAGTTTGATTCTTTGAAAGGGTTGTTCAGTAAGGTGGTCTTTGATGTAGATGATTGCAGAAGTGGCCCTTTGATTGAACAACGTTCACATGGATTCCCTGCCAGGGCGCAACTATCCTCTGTTTCGGCCTTGTTATTCTAAATTTTGAATCGGAATCAGCTGATTTAAAGTTGATTTCGATTCTCTAATTTTCCCAAGCTGGTTCTATTCAGAACTGGCCCTCTAAGCTTCTTTTTTTTAAATATCATGGTAAAACACAAGGATAAATTGCAATTCTCTCGAGTTTTGAGACTTTTTGCATTGTTACCAATGAGAGGAATATTAGACTACCAAACCAAGATTCAAGACTCACGAGCTCCCCCTTAGCTATATCACTTCTCTTCTTTCTCTAATGCATCGAATCAATCATATGATTAGTTTCTTGTTTTTTGTACATATTTTCCTAATTATATCAGAAACTCTTAAGCAAGAATTTTATATTCTTTACCTTTCTTTAAAAAAATTTATTTCAGTTTTCGTACATTATATTAATTACAAATATACTATGCTTAATGTGGAATATATATAATATAAATGGGTCTAATGGTCTATAGTAATTTATAATTTTATAGCATATAGTTGCTTATAAAAATTGAGGAAGAAAAAAAAAAATCTGTTTATATACTATGCTTTTTCCAAAGTTCACACGTAAGGCGACAAATATTTTAAGTGAACAAAAGACTTACAGACTTATCGTAGCATTATACATCTATTTTTGCACAAAATAACAAATTTTCTCATCCAATTTGACATAAAAATAATGAAATAATTAGAAAATTAACATATAAACTCCTTTCCACTTCAAAAAGAAAGAGAATGTGACTTTCTGCAAATTCTTTATATATATAGGTATATATATTTCTAAGTCTCCTTTCTCTTATTCTGCAAGGGAAATGGCACTAGAAACTGTGGTTTTGCAACAAGACCTATTTGGTACTTATGGACCATGGATTCATGCCTTTAGTCTTCAAGAAGCAGAAGCAGAAGATTTAATGAGGCCAAATGTGAAAGAATGGGACACAAATTCTTCTTCTCAAGAAAACTGCCCTGCAGGTGAGGGATTCTTCTGTAGTGGTGGGTTTTCTCCGGCGGAAGTTCCGATAACCAGTTCAGGCCAGCAAAAGAGAAAACGTAGTAGAAATTTCAAGAACCAAGAAGAAGTTGAACACCAAAGAATGACTCACATTACTGTTGAACGTAATCGGAGAAAGCAAATGAATGACTATCTTGCAGTTCTCCGGCGCATGATGCCTCCCTCTTATGTTCAAAGGGTACTAATACATCTTGAATCTTGAGGATTCAAAGTCCTGACTTCCTTTACTATATATATTTTTATATATATTAAAATTAAAATTGCATGTGTATATCCTTGCAGGGAGACCAAGCATCAATAGTAGGTGGAGCCATTAACTTTGTGAAGGAGCTAGAACAACACCTACAATCCCTTCAAGCTCACAAGAAAATGAAGAAAGAATCAGAAACTGATGATTATTCTTCTCTCTTTTCTGATTTCTTTTCCTTTCCTCAGTATTCAACTCGTTCAACTTTTGCCGCTGATCATCATCAGCAAGATCAATCCATGGCCAAGAGACAATCAAGATTTGCAGAAATTGAAGTTACTATGATAGAAAACCATGCCAACTTGAAAATATTACTAAGAAGACACCCAAAACAGCTCTTGAAAATGGTGGTTGGATTGTCCTCTCTTAGCCTTATTATTGTTCATCTAAATGTCACAACTGTTGGTCATATGGTACTTTATTCTTTAAGCATCAAGGTTAGTTTAAACTATTTAATTCTAATATTATTTAATTAATCTTGTTTTCACTGAAGTTCAAACTTATAATTTTAGTGTCCTAAAGATGACCCGAGTGTTATTAAGTTTAAATAAGTTTAGTATCTAATTAATAAATTATTTTTATATAATATATATAAATGGTAAAAAAAATAAAAGGGTCATTGATTTTTAATATGGAAATTTTGTGTTTGGTGTTTATGGCAGGTTGAAGATGAGTGTCAACTGACTTCGGTCAATGAAATTGCAGCTGCTGTGTATGATATGGTTGGCAGGATTCAAGAGGAGGATACTTCTAACTTTTCATATGATTGCTAAATTGTGTTTCTTTTTTCTTTCTTTTTAATTAATGATTTTCCACTTCACACATAAGTAAATTAGTGGAACTTAGCTGCCTAGGATCTTTTTTCTTCTTTTATTTCTCCTCCTTGTAATTATATCTGTCTTTGTGAATGTTTATATTTAAATTTTCTCGTCTACTAATTCGAATTAAATGTGATTATTGTTTTTACTTTCAAATCGAAATATAACATAACGGGAATGATTAATCCGGTCAGATAACTACTCAAATCAATGTTATTAAATGCGGTCTGAATATTAATTTGGTTAAAGAATCAGGTGAACGGTGATTAGTCTTTACAAATTAATAAAAAATAATCTCACCATTGTAAGCAAAAAAAAAAGAAAAAAAAAGGTAAATTTGCACTAATTTTTAGTGTAAAAGTGAAATGTCAGATTAGGTGCATTCCTTTTTGCAGATGGCAAAGTTTTGATAATTGGCATGCAGCAGTTCCTTTTCTTTTTAGCCAAAGGATATATAGATACATCCAATTATTTAGTTTATATTATTATAAAAAGAAAAAAAAAATGTTGGGTCCATAAATATCTTCTTAGGGTTTTGGAAGTGTAATAAAAAAGGTTGACATCTTTTTCCAATTATTCAGTACAAAAATAGCTCTTTCCTGCAGTTTCTACTCATTGAACCATTCATTATTTTAGCTAAGCTGACAAACAATTTTTCATATCAAATTTCAACTTTCTGAAAATGGACTGATTTGTTACAAGTGTACCATCTTCCAATAATACTTCTCCATGGATAGAAGCAAAAGATATCCTTTCATATTTTTATATTTAAATTAATTTAATATTTAGGTTGATGTTGATGTTCTGATGAAATTAATATTTAATGATTTAATATTGAGGTAATCCAAAAGAATATTTAAATTAATTATGTAAAAATATATATATCCAGCCCCTAAATTGCACTCCATTGTTCCTTCTTTATTCTTATTAATGAATTTTTTAATCGAAAATCCTTAAAAACAAAAATGCAATTATAATTCTTAATTTTTTTTTATTACAACTAGAACTTGATAGTGCCTCATTATTCCTTTATTGAGGTCAAAACTATTGAAATTGAAACTAGTTAGTAGCAGATTAATTTTTTTTGCCAATATTATCTCGGAATAAAATCTGTTAATTGTATTTACTTGTAATTTTTACTTATCTTATGAGAATAATATTATTATTAATTAATGAATTGCTAATTATCCATATATATATTTCAATTTTCAGTTTTAATATTAATTAATAAAGAAAATATAAAATTTATATGTATTGTTTTTTTTTAAAAAAAAAGATTATGTATTGTTTTATTGACCTCGTATCATAAGATAAAGAAATTGACCTCTAATCCAATTAATCAATATTATTTTTTTTAATTTTCATATTTATTGCCATTTTCCACGTCTTTCCAAAATGCCTTCTTTAAAAAAAAATCAGAATAAATATGTTATTAAATAGGAAAAAAATTTGAATAATTAACCAGATTAGTCTAATTGATAAAAAATAAATAAAAAAGCACCATTGAAGTATTTGAAATTTGAAAATTCGACGTATAAATTTGAAGAGATCACTTTCAAAAAAACAAAAAAAAAAAAAAAAAAATTAATTTTATATGATTGTTTTTTTTGTTTTATAAAAAAAAAAGATGTATGGTATTGTTTTATTGACCTGCGTATGCATAAGGATAAGAAATTGACCGTGCGTAGATGCCAGATAGTAATCGAATACTTATTTTTTTTTAATTTTCATATTTATTGCCATTTTTCCACGTTCGGTATTCCGAAAAGGCCTTCTTTTAAAAAAAAGAATCAGAAGTAAATATGTGTATTAAAAGGAAAAAGAATGTTGAATGAATTAACCAGGAATTAGTCTAATTGGGATTGAAAAAATAGAATAAAAAAGCGCAGCCAGTTGAGAAGGTATGTTGAGAGAGATTTGAAATTCGACGTATAAATTTGAAGAGGATCACTTTTCAAAAAAACAAAAGAGAAAAAAAAAGAACTTGAAGAGATCACTTGCGATAAGATATGGCGTCCTGTCTTTTTCCAAGAAGTGTTGATCAGACAAAGCCTGAAAGAAAAGCCAGTTATTGAAGGGATTCGGAATTTCGAACGAAGGAAAAAAAAAAAAAAAAAAAAAAAAAAAATTGAAGAGATCACTTGCATAAATATGCGTCCTTCTTTTCCAAAAGTTGATCAAGACAAAGCCTGAAAAAGCCATTATTGAAGGGATTCGAATTCGAACAAGACCAGCAAACAAGTACCAACGAAAAGCTTTGAAGCTTAAAAGAAAAAAAAAAAAGAAAAGAGAAGAAAGGCTATTACTATGTGTGTGGGAAACCACCAATTCACAACTTATTTTCAAAATTATTTAATGATTGAATATTTATTTTATGTATAAATATATAATTTATCTTTTTCAAATTATCTTTGTATTTTTATAAATTTTAATTAGTATATTCAATTTATCAATTTTTTTTATACATGGAAGGATCAATAGAAAAAAATAACATAGTTGGCTACACAACATAAATAATCATCAATTTAAATAAAATTTATCAAATTTATAATAATTTTTGTGGTGAAAAGGATTCAAAATCAAGATCTTTCACTCCTTACATTTTTTACGAGAAATAAAAAACCAATCACACTTGATTGACTATTAATATTTTTTTCATTCATAATTTATCAGTAAATTTTAGTTTAATTAATATTACAAATCCACTCTAATTGATATAAAATGAAATAAAAATTAGTATGAGAATGTACCAATTACAATATTGACAAATGAAATGATAGGCTAGATTGAAACTATGTTATTTGTCGGGACTTGGACCCCTAGGCTCTAGTGGTAGAAGCATCTTATAAATAAAAAATTGATATTTAAATCCGTGAAAATTTTCAATTTACCCACACAATATGGCATTATGACATGTTTCTTCGATAAAGTAATATAATTTTATAACTTGCTAAATTATATAAAAACTTTTAATAATCGAGACAACTCAAATTTTAATATCTCTAACTCTTTGCATTTTCATAGAAAAAGAGCAATTTATTATATCAAATTTATTGACATAAACTACTTATATTATAATTTTTATTTATTGGAAAGCTTATTCATCTGATTTATTAAAATACTAAATAAGAAAATAAATTGATTTTAATAATAAATCTTGGTTTTGTATTTGAGAAGGCAAAAACAATAATCATATTAAACCGCTCTAAGATAATCAAATCGTGTGGCATTCAACAAAATTTCAAAAAGAAAATAGTACTTTGAGATTTTGCATAGATTATAGGCAATTCAATTACTTGATGACTAATTCTTGACTTTTGGAGAAGGGAAATTATAACTCTTTAATAAACATTGATAGACAATTTAATTGAATCCTCATATTTCAATTGCAGTCAATTCAATATCTAAACTATAATTTTTTTTTTATCAAATAGGTCCAATAACTATCACCACCTAACAATTTCTTAATTAATACTGGTTTAGTATAATCAATATGGGCCCCATTGAACAATGATAATTTTAGGAATTGGTTGTAACTTTAATCTGATTTCCTTTGTAATTGAACTTGATTATGAATTTTTGACATGTATTTAAATTAAACTGTGTTTTTCATTAATCCGAATGGAGGTAACTCGGTAGCTAAAAGCACTTGTGGAGTTGATTACCATGACTTAGGTTATGGATTTGATCGTTTGCATGCAAACACCTCTCAGTCAGCCCCCTTTGCCTCCAAGGACGAGCCGGGATTAGTCAGGTTTGTAGACCGCTATCAAGCTAACTGTGTTTTGCATTTGATTTTGCATAATATTTCTCTCTCTGATATATAAAGTTATTATTTTAAAATAATTATCTATAATTTTATTATTAATTATTCTTATAAGGTTAGTATAATTCAAATATAATATAAATGGTAGAAAACAAAATTTAAAAATAAAGCTTTTAAAATTAGCAAACTTTAGTTAGAGGACTACATTAGAGTCCATTCAGTTGAACTTTTTATAAAGCCATAACTTGAATTATGTATGAAAGAAAACCAAATTGGATAGGAAAGAAAAATTAAAATCCAAATCGGAGTAAATGAAAAGAAAATCAAAATTCCAAGTGAAACCAAATACTTTGATATTTTCCGATTAGCTGGGCCTTGAAACTGGGCCTGGGCTTTTGGCGTAGCTAAGCTCAAAACATTTTTTTGAATACAAAAATAATATATATTCTTTTTTTTTTTCTTTTCGAAATTCCAAAAAAGAAATATATATATAGTAAAAATGGCTATGTTGAACTTTGACTTGATCAAGATCCAAAAATGGCTCAACAACTGGTACGAGGAAAAAATGTGAATATAACGAAGCTGGCCAATAGCAATTTGTGAAGCAAGTCAGTGAAAAATTTGTTATCAGTCCCCATCATCACATTTATATATGGTAATATATCTATTCGAAGAGGAGGATTTTCCTGGGTGGAAACTTTCAGGATAGAGAATCCTAGGGATTAGACTATGCAAGTCCAACTTTTCAACTTGGTTGTGAAATATAATTCAAAAAAAGTTTATACCAATTTATCAAAATTACGGTGACACTTTCAACTTTAAGTCATATCAAATTATAAGTCTAAGATCTTTAATCACCTTGTTATCTTTCAAACTAAAAGTCTAATACATCATTATTTTATTGAATTTTTATTTAGTTACAACTTAATTGATACGTCTTGTTAGTTATTATTTATTCAATACCGGATAAATAAAAATAATATTATGATAAATTATGCGTTTTAAATTATGGGTGAAATCATTTCTAATCTCTAAAATACGAGATTTTTTCAGTTAAACACCTTAATTGAAGAAAATGAAGTATAAGTGTAATAAACAAGCAAAAGATGCTGCTAAATCAAAAAGTGTGATAAACAATCAAATCTTATACAGCCAAACCATAATCATAATTATATAAGCCCAATCACAAACCAAAAGATGAGACATTATGAATGAACAATATGAAGCCAAAGTCTAGTTTTAGAATTTTTTCTTTTTTTCTTTTTGAACTTACAATGCATTCTTCACTTGAGTCTAACTACAATAACTACTAAATCCAACACCCATCAACAAAAATATAGTATCTTAAGCTAATATGTTTCTTCTTATTCTTGAAGAACTGGTATTGTATAACAAAACCCATAATTCCCACTTTTGAAAAGATACCAGCAAGACTCATATTGTTCTTGATTATATTATGTACTTGGTGCAATAACAAAAACATGCATGCAAATTATATGATCCTTCAAAATCCTTCCAATTATTGGTTCTGCATTTGACTAACCAGGAAAATGAGCTCATAAGGGAAGAACAGATTCATGGCTCCTGCTATGTCTAGACGAAGAAGACTTCCCACTAGAAGAAAATGACCTTTTCATTGAAATGGGTCTTTTTTGCAATGCATCCCCTATTGAAAAACTCTTCATCATTCTTCCAAACCTTAAACTTCCATTACTTCCATTTTTTGAAATAACATTCTTGGATTTCAAATACTTGTCTACCTCCTTGTAAATTTCTACAGCAGAAGAATCATCCATTGACATAGACCTCCTTGTAGGTTGCATTTCTACTTCAACTGTTTGTCTACCTTCAACTAGATCACTTTGTACTCTACTGCAATTGCTGTTCAAAGCAGAATTATTTGCTTCATCTTCTATTGGCAATGCACAATTCATATCATCTCCTCCACTTCTCACTTCACTAGTCCCCTCTTCTTCTTCTACTTGGTTATTCTCAATATTATCTAAATGGGTTTCTCCTCTTATACCAAAATCAGTACTTGTAGGCATTGATAAATCAATTTGAACATTAAAGTTATCGCAGACTATAGGGGCGCGACATAAAGGGCAGTTCTTGTGTGATCTTAACCAAGTATCAATGCAAGAAATGTGAAAAGCATGACTACACTTAGGCAAAAGCCTGAGATTTTCATCTTCTTCAAATTCATTTAAGCAAACAGAGCAATCTGTTCCGTCTATTAATCCTTCATCTTTTTTGTACTTGAAAACTGCAATTGAATCTATAATTGATTGTTGTAGACCGATTGTGTTGATGTACCATATAGGATTATCGGTTTCTGCGTCTTGATAATCATCAAGAAAGTCTTCTTGAGTACCAAAAAACAGAGGCGCGTTTCTTGATCTTCTTGAATTTCGTCGCGCAACTCTTAAAATTACACATAAAATACAAACGAGAAGTGCAGCAGAAATCAAACCACCCAGAATCATTATACTAGTTATGAGCAAATGCTTTTGGTTTATGTTTTGAGATTCAGTACTCGGCTGAGGAAAAATCGGCAATTCTGATGGCGGTGGTAGTGGTGGTGACGGGGGTGATGTGAAAAAAGGAGGAAAAGGATTTCCGACAAGAAGGGTTTTACAAATATTAGGACACAGTTTGAAGCAATCGCCGATACAACTTCTAGTGGGATTGAGAAATGCTTTACATTGAAAAACACAAATCCCATCCTTGTTTTGTGATACCTCTATATTGGGATCCTTCATTTTTTACAAAAACAGAAAAAAAAAAAAAAAACAGGGGAAACAGGGGATAGAGAACCATACCTTATAACTTGAATGGTGTGAGTGTGAAACTCAGCAAGTAAGCATGTGGAAATTTCAGAAGAGAAAATTTAGAAGGTGGGGTCTGATTTTTGTTTTTTTTTTTTCTCTGAAGACTTTCTTCCACAAAGTGTGGTGTTGATTGAATTGTTGAGGATATGATATGACAATAATGGAGACTTTTGGACATGTTTTCCACAAAGCTTTACATAGAAGTAGAAGAAATATGAATTTGATGAAGAAGATTTGAGCATTTACAAGATCTAATTGGGTTGTCAGTCACAAGTCAATGGAGCTTTCGGGTCATTTACGCGTAAACTTTACACTGTGGGGTTCAATAGGTGTTCACTTAAACTTCAAACTCTTGCGTCTCTTTATTATTTGATTGGCTGTACATGTCGTGATACAAGGAGCTTATGTGTATCGCATTCATGATTCAACTAGGGTTTATACAAATTTTTTTTTTTTTTCATCCCCTTAATTCAAATTTTCTTTTGTTAACATATCTCTCTGCATAAGAACCTCGATAAACTGCTTTCTTTTTTTTTTTTTTTTTTTTTTTTTTTTTTTTTTCATCCCCTTAATTAAATTTTTTCTTTTGTTAACATATCTCTCTGCATAAGAACCTCGATAAACTGCTTTCTTTTTTTTTTTTTTTTTTTTTTTTTTTTTAATTTTGTTTGAAATTGTTTAAGTTAATAGCAATAATAATAATGGAGAACAGAAGACGGATATGGAGATGAGAAGAGTAGATATAAGAAAAACTAAAAATTGTTGGATCTATGCGTAGAGAAAAGTGCAATGAAATTGCTTCACTTTCAGCAAATAATCCACACAGCAATTCTAATTCCTCTATCTCTGACTTTAACCTCAATCTGCTTATTAATGATTCTTTGAATATTTCACAATAAGAATTCTATAAATATGCAAAAACTTAATAATTTTAAATTTCAGAATTAATATATATTATTTGAAATTGTATGTAGAATATCTATGAAAAACGTTGTGTTTGAGTTTTTGAATTATGAACTATAGCTAAAACCTAGATGGGATGAGTTGAATTTCATAATTATTTATTTGGCTTAATATATACTTATACCCTGAATTTGAAATTTGTTGCATTTATACTCTAATTTGAAATTTGTGACAACCACATCTTAAAATGAAAAATTGAAAGTATTTACAGTCCACAATTAAATTAAGGGTTGATTTTCAATAAAAAATATATTTTCATGGAATCCATAACTGAGTTTGGATTAATTTAACTAGAACTTAAACTTAAACTTAAACTCGAAACAATACTGTTGAAGAGGAAAAAAAATTAAATTTAAAATAGTTCTCATCTATCACTCGAGTGCAACGTTGATTATTGTAAAATTTTGCTTTCACAGAAAGCAATTAATTCGTAGAAAACACTTCAAGTTCAGATAGTATCTTTAAAATTAATCCTACGATTTCTTTTATTTTAGTTCATATATGTTTATATATAGTGATAGACACATGTGGTATTATATATTAATTTATATATTTATTCTATGTGTTTTATTTTAGTTCATATATGTTTATATATAGTGATAGACACATGTGGTATTATATATTAATTTATATATTTATTCTATGTGAGAAGTATAGTTGAAAATAAATTTTGAAAAACAAAAATTTTAACAATTTGAGAATCCTACAATTTGATGAATTTAGAATAATTTATGTATGTTTAGAATTTATGTTGTAACCAACATTAGCCCATATACTCCATTATCTTCAAAATATACATATATCAATATTATTTAAACTAAAGATCCATTTAATTAGTTTAGCTTTATATATAATTTGAACCAATCAACAACGTCGAATGGTAACAATGTAAATGATGATGTTTCTCATTGTTTACAAACGGAACATGGATTTTCCATTAGGTTTAATTTTTTTTTATTGCAAATCAACTTTTAATTTAATTTTAAGATGTAAATGCAATAAACTTCCAAGTTCAAGGTATAAGTGCATATTAAACTTCATTTATATTAATATCTGAATTTTTTATTTTTTATTTCTTTTTCATATTTTCACTTAAACCACTTAAAAGTAAGATTTTGCAAATCGTAGTTATGATACATTAATTTGCTAAATTTTTATGATACCAAAAATTTTCTAAAAGTTTATTTTGATTGAAGTTAAATAAAAAAAATAATATTTTGATATATTGTGATGAATGGTTCGGCATTCTCACTTTTACCTCTTAGTGGGCCAATCCGGTGTGAGAAACTCCATCCCTTATATTTAAAATATTGTTCTTGTCATCTAAAATTTAATTTAATTATCTAAACGTTAAAAATATTTATATATATAATAATTTCCTTTAAAAATTACTTCATTATTAAAAAAAAAATTATCTATACATCTACATCTTAATTTTTGATTTTTCTAATTTATGATTGGACAGGTATTTTAATTAAAATTGAAAATCTAAAATGATATATAATAATTATCTATATGAACTTCATTCTTATTTTTATTTTTTCAAAAGAAAATTTTCAAATATGATTCTTTTACGTTATATATTAAAAAGAATCAAATATTTGATTAATTTCAAGGACAATTTTATAATATCCTAAGATCTTTGAAAAAATGCTAATTAACAAAATTAACAAAATTGAACTAATCGACAAACAAAACAAAATTAATTAACAAAATTAAAAAAACAAAACTACAGTAATTAACAAAATTAACAAAAACTAAACTATAATTAACAAACAAAACAAATCTAATTAACAAATCTAACTAATCAACAAACAAAACTAAACGACACTATTTAACAAAAAGTAAACAAAATTACACTAAGCAAACATAAAACCAATAATTAAACAATAAAACTATCACAAAAAACACAGAATAATCACAAAACATAACCAAACACAGAATGCGGCATTAACACACAACCAACATTAATTTGCAGAAAATAACAAAATATAACAGAAATGAAAAAAGTTAAACAAAACATAACAAAAAAAAAAAAAAACTAAATTCATACGAATTACACAATTAAACACAAAATGAGCATAAAACAAATCGAAATAAATAAAATAAAAGAAAATAAAAAAAATGAAAAGCGCTAACTAACCTGAACCCTAGAAGCTGAATAACAAACAGACTAAATTGCCTTAAAAGAATTAGAAACTGCCTCAATCGGTCGCTAATTATTAACATTCGGTCACTGTTTTAAATGACGTGAAATTCTGCCATGGATTGCTAAATGAATAACCGGTCGCCCATTTATCGTTAAACAAAACATGAAACTTAATAATATCACAAGTCGTTAAACAAAATATGATACTTAATAATACATTTAGTCGGTCATCTATTGCTATTCAGCAGTTGATTCATCTGCCAACATTAGCAACAGACGACCCTCCGTTACTAAATCATCGTCACTCCATTCCATTATTGATTTGTCTCGAACATTCCCACCAGATTTTGACGACAAATCCTAAATCCGTCTTCCATTCAGTCGGTGATGTCTGTCGCTAGTCATAGTAGATTTTTCGCTAATTTATAATTAATTTTAAAATAAACTATCGTCATATGCTATCACTAAAATCGCTAAAATCGATCCTAAATCGTGTTTTAGAGATTTTATTAATATTTTTTTATGATCATTTTATTTATAATTATTTAAAAAATAATTAATATTTTTATTTATTTATATAATATATTAGAATAAAAAAAATATATAGAATACATCATAATGTATAAAAAATAATTATATCTTTAATTGTCATTTTTCAATTTAAATAAGATTGCTACTAAAATTTTACCAAAAAAAAAAAAAAAACATACAACCAAAAAGAATTTCACTCTAAATTCTAAAAGAAGGGACAACAAAACCTTATCTCTCCACTAAATCAATATTTATATTGTAATCCTACCACATAATCATATTTAGATTTAGATTTATAATAATTAATTAAATAGCCCATTTCTTGCGGGACTCAAACTCCTCTTCTTACCTACCTTCCGTCATCACTTTCTTTCTTCCTTACACGCTTCAAGCAACCGTTATTCTTTCAAGCATTTTATCAAACACCTTAATAGAAATTGCAAATCGATCTCGATTAGCCCAACCATGGCTAGGTGGGCATCGAGTAATAACCATAAACTAAGTTATAGAGGTTTTGATGATGAAAATGATATGTTTATGGGCGTTTTGGTTTCTCCAAAATCTGGTAAGGATCTAATGCAGAATTGCGATCTTCCTACGCCATTGAAGATGTTTTCTGGGTGTGATAAGACAGTTATATCGCCGATGACAGTGAAAAGAGAAAAGGAAGAAGAAAGAAGCGATTTTGATGTTAAATGCGGTGGTGAGAATGAGAAATTGGAGCTTTTGAAGGCTTTGAGATTGTCACAGACAAGGGCAAGAGAAGCAGAGGAGAAAGCTGCTAATCTTGCTAAGGATAGAGATTCAATTACTAATGTTTTGTTGAAAGAATCTATGCAGTTATTTGCTTATCGTCAATGGGTTAGGTTGCTTGAATTTCAAGTCTTAAAGTTGCAATCACAAAAAAAGAAATTGTTAAATGAGGGCGGCGCCGACGGCGATGATGGGGTGTCTTGGTTTATGGCCTTGGCTTTTTGTTTAGGCATTGCCGGCGTTGGATTAGCCTTTGGCTGTCGATATTTGTTTTGAGTTTGGGCCTGTTCTGTATGGGAAAATTTTCACATGGACCTTCTGATATGACTTATGAGATGGGATTTGCAAACAAGATAGCTGACAAGGAAATGGATTGTTTTTATAGTTATAATACAACAGTTCAGTAACGTTATTTTTTTTATATAAATAATTTCAGTAAGTTATGAAATCTTATAGAACCTGTATTATATCAAAAAATGAAAATGTAGTTCTTTCTTTTCTTTACATTCAAGTTTCTTCTCTTCCTTATTCTTGTTTTGTTTGAATGGGTTTTAGGGTTATAATTTTCTCAACCTTATTCAAGAGCATTATATTATTGAAAAAGACAACATTACAGCCTTTCTTGCAAGAAAGAAATACTCTTTACCCTTTAAGCGAAGGTCTGCGTCTAAATAACAAAGAATGTGGTTTCTTAATTTAAATTTATATGCAAACAAAACTTGAATTTCCTACTTGAATTTCAAAGGTTATGTCAACGTTCCATTTTACAATAGCTGCTTGAGGTGATTACTGCGTCGCATAATGTGACGTCCGATGGAGCGCTGATGGTTGAATTATTAGTTTCACTAAGAAGAACATTTTATGAAACTGAACCATAGATGTGCCCCATTTTTTGGCATTTAGTCTCCAAATATCTTCTGTTCTCCATAGTTGTTGGAGTCAACAATGGGACCCTGCCTGCAATTGCCAGGCCATAACCTTTGAGCCCAACATATTTTGCAGGGTTATTTGTCATCAGCCTCATTGTATGGACACCCAGGTCTCTCAGTATCTGCAATAAGATCGGATCATGCATTTAGGCTCCTCAATATGGTATTTGAAGACGGAACAATAGAAAATAGCAGTGACGATTGAATATCTGAAAGTGTCTTCGGAAGAAAATCTCCATAACCTTCCCTAAAAAGTATTCAACCTATCACCGGTAACTCCATTTAGTCCAAAAAAGATGTAAAATTTTGTGAATTGAATATCCACTAATTCTCCAGCCACAAAAGTTCATGAGTTCAATATTTTTAGCTAACAAGGTTGAATAAACAAGAGCCATAAAGGCCAAGGATTAGACATTGTAGAGGAAATCCATGGAACTAATAAAATATCATAATTTATTAAGATTACCTGTGCGCCAATGCCGTATTCGCGAGAATCAACAGGTAAACCCAGCTCTTCATTGGCTTCCACTGTGTCGCGTCCATCATCCTGCAGGTTGTAAGCACGAAGCTTGTGGCCCAAACCAATCCCCCTACCTTCATGTCCACGGAGGTAAATCAATACACCCTTGCCAGCTGCCTCAATTTGCTTCATTGCAAGAGCTAGCTGACTTCCACAATCACATCTCGCTGATCCAAATATGTCACCAGTGAGACACTCAGAATGTACCCTCACAAGGATATCTTTGCCATCCCCAATTTCACCCTGTTGATGTCAGAGTATTATTAGCATCTATTAGCCTACAATAATCTACCCAGCCAAAGAATGAAAAATTGATAGCCAATTCTGTCCAGTGGGAACAGTACTCTCTCTTAGAAAAAATGACAATAACCTTCCATAAATGTTGCAAGGAGAAATCAACATTTGTATAAAGCTGGATTAGTTACAAACTTGTCACCCTAAGCCTACCAGGGAATAACAGAAAAATGCTGAGGATAGAAATAGAAAGAATTCATTTTTCAATTACGTGTGCTTTTTTCTTCAAGTTAGGTGATAGATTCAGCAAAGACAAAAGTGATCTCCCATTTTAAGATATCACCTATCAAGAAAACCAAAAATCAAATACTTCCCGCATTCTGGGATTATGTGATGTGCTGCGTCCTCATCTCCATTACATTAGTTTTGAATGGAATGCATATGATAGCAAAAGATTTAATGGACAGAATCATATTGGAAGGGACTGCCTGATTGGAAATATACATCATTCAATTAGTATTCAACAGATTATAAAATTGGTGAAGGAATGGTCAAATCCTAATTATAACTTACAAGCTCGGCAGGCAACAACCTTAGAACCCTCAACTCATCAACATGTACCCAATTTAGGCTATGTACCATGGATCAGCAATTGGTAGCAATTTCTTGAAGACAGTGTTAAAAGTTTCATTTCATTTATCATTTGACACATGAAGGTTTTATCATCCCATATCCTCAACTTAATCCTTTTCTTACACAAATAACTAGCAATGTGCAAACTGAAAAACCGTGTCGGCAAAGAAGGAAGCAAAAAAGAAAACAGGAATCTCCTAGCCTACAAATGCAAAATATAAATAGCATACGATATGTACATCATATTTGTCATTCTCCATTAGTCCATGAAATCTCAATAACAACCAAGAGGAAATCAAACAAATATCAATGTCCTACACATTTCTAAGAAAAAGGAACAAAACTGCAATTTGCAAGAAATAATGTCCAAGTATGTGTTGGTGTGGTACATTAAAAGGAATTGTTAGAAGAATTGAGACACCACTATTTGGACCCAAGAGATTGAAACATGCAAATGAAGAACACAAGAAAGAAGGTGAAAAGGAAGAACAGCAAGGACCAAATAAGTCCAAGACCCCAAAATGTGGAACGCAATAATAATTATGTTCCATTTTTATGTCACTAGTTTGGGATTAAGACTTAGTTGTTGTTGTTATTGTTCTACTTTGATGTCAAGAACCTTCAATAATATAGAATACTGCACCCAAGTACTTATGTATGAAGTGCCAACTTGTTTCATCTATATGGTCCAAATTGTACATGCTTTTGAGGGTGAGATTCAGAAAAATATAGAACAGTATATAACTATTAAAGAGGATGTCCCCAATGTGCAAGGTTCCTTACTTTGTAGGGGTTAAGAGAGGGTCATCTATCCTTATAATTATTTGTCAACTAAAATTTGTTCCTTTAACCTTCCCATATTTAGGCTTTCACACAACTCAAAATAAGAAGTGAAAGCATTAAAAATATATTTTCCCGACCATAAAAGCTTCTAACTTTCAATCTTCAACTTTGTTCCTTAAGTTGTGTTCTAAGAAAAGAAAGGATAATGCTGAACAAAACAAGTACCAAAGTAATTTGTGGTTGTGGTCAATTGACAATTTTTTCATCTGCTACAGAGCACACGAACAATCAAATTTCAAAGTAGCCTTGCCATTTTGCAATAAGAACAGAGAAACCTCAAAATAGTGAACTATGTTGCCAGCTTACAAGAATTTAAACAGAAATTGTCAAGTTATACAAGATAACAATTATGAAATCACTACTGAAATTGAAAGGATATTTTGACTCACTAAAAGGTAAAATGATACTAGAAGCGGATTTGTCAAGTAAGCAGGCTAATTGAGATAAGTAGCTTACTTTAACCATTGCTATATGCTCTATTCCATCCAGCAATGACCTGTAACAGTAGGCTTTGAATGGGCCCCACATTGTGGGTATTGGAGCAGCAGCAGCCAGCTCCACCAATCTATCTCTTTTCCTCCTATATCTGTCACTCATACAAACATATTGATACAAGTATTAGTTTCATTAACTGAAAACAATAGGAAAATAAATCGATAAAATATAAATCCCTAATATCAATTGCAATAATAATAATTAAAAAAAAAAAAAAAAAACCCTAATGAGTACTTTGTAAAGAAAGATCTTTAACCCAACGAGCAGCCAAAAATATGACGCAGATTATGAGCCAACTTGCGGGTTCCTTCAGAAGATCAAATAATTCAATAATTCACAAGAATGCACATTTTCTGTTTGCCTTTACGCATGCCATGTAACATAAATTATAGTCACCATTTTTCAGACAAGTGTAGTAAACTTTGCCAACTGATACAATGGCTATGAATATTTATCTCAAGCTTGTTCAGGCAAATAAGCAAGATGGAATGAGATGCCAATACATCCCTGAAACTTGACAACGGTATTTAAAGATGAAAATTATTTGACTTACCTGATTAGATCAGCTATAGAAATGATTTTTAAGTTTTCAGCTTGTGCAAATTGGCGAAGCCTTGGTAATCTTGCCATAGAGCCATCGTCATCCACAATCTCACATAAAACAGCAGCAGGCTCTAACCCGGCCAGCATTGCAAGATCGACAGAAGCTTCAGTATGCCCAGCTCTTTTTAAAACCCCGCCCTCCCTGTACTTAAGGGGGAAAATATGACCGGGGCGATTGAAATCTTCAGGTTTTGAATTTTTAGAGGCAAGAGCCAAAACCGTTGTTGCCCTGTCATGAGCTGAAACACCTGTTGTTGTGCCATGTTTTGCATCCTATACAATCAGAATGCATGATGTCAGACATGAAATGATACCAAGGAAAGTATGCATTTTCTAAATACAACCAGGATACTTCTCTTAATGGCCTCTAATTTACTAGTAGCTGGTCAAGTTTCTAACAAATGGCTGCAAGATCGCGCACAAGGTGGAGAGAGTTAATCAAGGGAAAGGCTGGCCCAAGTAAATGTTTATAACCCAGCTGTTGGAACCAAAAAAATACACCAATAACTAAAGATAATATTGAGCATTTGACACTGATATAATTCCAGGTTTGGTTTTTTAACTAATTGAAATGATGTAAAAACACTCTACATCAAAGAGCAAGTTAAAGAATAAAGAATTAATTTCCAAAACTACCCAATACACTTAAAGTACTCTAGGGCTTCCCCTTTGTTTTCTAGTCTAGTTAAAAATTGATGAGAAGAAAACTGTACAAGCACAAGTAGTAGGAGAATGAAAAAGAAAATGAAAAGCAGGACAATATACAAGTTAAAAGACAATTGAAAACTTGCAATTGATAATCACAAGAATGTGTTCCAATTAACTCAAAGATATTGCATGCAAATTTTCATCAGCAATAATGTGTCAATCCTCGACTCAATCAAGTATCATTCTCAAAATATTTGTAGTAGTTTGGTGGATCTTTTATGTCTACATTGTTTTATTAGGATCGACACTTCTATGAGCCATTGTAATGACTGACTCGTGTTTTATTGCTTCAGCCCATGTCCTTTTACTGCTCCCTTTCCCTATAATTTGAATCGAGAAAACCATCATTTAACTTTCCCTCACTAGATGCCATGCCACCTTCACCTTCTTATAAAGGTTAACATTTCTTATTCATCGTAACATCCTTATTTTACTCATGCTTATTAAATGGGCAAATTTCTTCTTCATGACCAGCCGTCTAATTCCATGAAGTAGTGGCGGATCCTTAAAAAAAAATTCCTCAGTTCGACATATAATAAAATATTATGAAGAGGGTTCAATCTTAAATTTTAAGAGATACACAAAGGAAATTTGTTAAAAAAGAGGGGTCAATTTATGCCCCTTTTCTCAATGTGCATCTGCCACTGCCATGAAGTACAGTTGTAAGCCTAACAAGGACTTCATTATACAGACTAACGTTCATACTTCTACACTTTACCCACCTCACATTGCTTATATGCCCTCTTCCTTAATATGATGGACCTCGCAATCATGATTGATACGCATTTGTAGAATTTGATCTAACAATGACTCCTGGTATTGCTAAAAATTGTAATGTATATTTCATATTAGTTTTTCTCATCAGAAAGCCTTGGAATCTAGGATTCCTCCATAATTCTAACTGTTGATTTCTGTATCAATCAATACTTTTTTGTCAATCATATCTTCTGCCTTAACCCTGTAATTTAAAAGAAATCTAAATCATTTTAAACATCCGAAACCTTTCTCAAATGCTTAAGAATTATGCATATGGGAGATGAAATGGGCCACCAGATTATGACTATAATCCTTATGTTGCAAGCAACCTATGCACCATAGATATGAAAAGAAAGACAATAATGTATTCGAACGTACTCAAACAAGAAAAAGAGAAAACAGAAAAAAAAAAAAAAAAAAAAAAAAAAAGTAATCCTTATGTTGCAAGCACTTGCACATAGATATGAAAAGAAGACAATAATGTATTCGTAACGTACCAATACAGAAAAGGAGAAAACAGAAAAAAAAAAAAAAAAAAAAGAAAAGAAAAAAGAGGAAAGGAATAGGCAAGAGTCATAATGCCAAAAAAAAAAAAAAAAAAAAAAAAGAAAAGAAAAAAGAGGAAAGGAATAGGCAAGAGTCATATGCCTAAACATGCTAATCGCGAGGCAGATACACTTCATAGATGCAGCATATGCATCAAATTTTAGATAAATGTCTTCCAAAGTGATAAAGAAGTAATATACTTTTCCCTATGAGAAATAACAAGTTCCAATTCTTTAACAGATGTCCACACCCATTTTAGAAGAAAATAAAAGGCCTTTAAAATTCATCAGAACAGAGTTATAGCCATATACCACAGATACAGTGAATGCTGTGCAGAGCTTTTCCTCATTCTCCTTCTGTGTTACCATTAGAGGAAGTTCCAATCTCTCCAAATCTTCTCCTTTCATGCTCACACACACTATCCCAGTTCCATGCTTGACAATAAATGCCATGGCTTCAGGTGTTGCCTTTGATGCTGCCATTATCAGGTCTCCCTCATTTTCTCTGTCTTCATCGTCAACTACAATTACTAACTGCAGCAATTTCCCAAATTAACTCAACTAAAAATTATTCCAAATAAGTAGCATAAAATCCTTCAAGACAATGCAGGAACAAACTAACCTTGCCTTGACGAATATCTTCAATGGCCTCAGGTATGGAAGAAAACCCATTCGTGGGATGATCAAGGTCATACTCATCATCATCAGGAAAGAAAGCAGTTGTAGTGGGAGTTATTTCAGCAGAAAGAGTTCCAAAACCTATTGCATCAGGTTGTAACTCAATACCAGTTGGTTGATTCAACTTTCCAGCAATAAAGATATCTTGCCCTGAAACTCTGTTATTGTTGGGGTAAGAGAGAAGATCACCTTCTCCAGATATAAGTGTGGCCCTGGCTCTACCAACACCTCTGAATTTAAAGCACAATTTCCTTGTTGGATTACTAGAGACCAGATCAGTACACACACATTGCAGACCAGTGTACCTTCTAGAGAAATGAAAAGCAATTTAATTAGTGATTAAGGGGGAAAAAAAAAGACACAATGCTACATGAATTTCCAATTTCTAGTATTTATAACGGCTCTATTGGAACTCGGTATCACTAGTTTTTTTAAAGAAATAAAAAAAAGACATAACCTATATTTTACTTTAATTGTTGATATCATAATGGTGTGATCAAGAAAATGGCAACATAACCATGAAAAAGAGGCATTGCTCCAAATGTAGAGAATGAAACTAAGAGGATGTAAAGCTAATAGAGTTAATCAATTCTAAGTACAAGCTATTAAAACTTCATATTCATAATAAATTCTATTTAGAGCTTGTTTGGTACAAATGAATTCCATAAAATTTTCATGGAATTCATTTAAAATTCCAAATTTTCATGTCAGGTATAAATGACAATTCATTTAGAATTCCACATGTTTAATTATATGGAATAGATTATGCTCAAACCAAATTCTACCAAAATTGATAGAACTTGCAAATGAACTCTAAATTTAAATATTACAAGCTAATAAAGCTAATAAATTCTAAATACAAGGTCATACAGCCACATAATGAGAATGAATACTACGGTTGGTCTAAACATGAAAATTCCTTTACAAGTGCATTTTTAAATAAAATTCATTTGCAAAGAAATGAATTCCAGATACTATGTTAATCCAAACATGAAAATTCATTTTCAAATGTATATATTTAATGGAGTTTATTATAGTTGAAATGAATTCCAATGGATGTCTCAAATCAACAAACAAATTTCAAAATTTTTTTTTGTTCTTCTTCTTGTATATCCAAACAACATAACATGGATTTCCAAGAAAAAAAAAATGTAAAATGAATGAAATACATTCAATTCTCAAGCACTTCATCTAAAAATCCTCTCAAATTCTATTTTTCTGCAATTTGAAAGATCCTAATCTCCTTACCGTACTAAAATGAAATAAAACAAAAGACCAATTGAAAGAAAAAAAAAACTGACCGTAAATGAGAGGGAGCCAAAGAGGAGCTGTAGAGATGAATAGAACCCATAACTCTGCCAAAAAAGAAGAAGAAAACACTCTAATCGCAGGAGCTCAGGTGGAGAAAAGCCGTTAGCTTTTTTAGCTGATCATCACTCATTTGCTACCGCCACCAAGCAAAAGCGTTGGAGAGATATTACTCATTTGGATATATCTAGTTTCTATACGACGTAACTAACAACTTCGTCTTCGTTTGTGGGAACCGGCGTCGTTTTAAGTTTCCCTGCGCGCTAGTTCTTAGTACGTGGTTTTTCGCCAAATTGTCTAATTCCGGCCTGGCCGAGGCTATAAGATTTGATTATTGTCCAAACCCAAGCCCAAAAGCCCAAAATATATAAATAATTTCTGTCAGTTGGATAGAGGTAATTAGATATATATAAAAAGACAAATTTATTTGACATCAAGATTGAAATTTTTTATTTAAAAAATAAATATATTCTAATTTTATATGTGAAATTATTTATAAACAGTGTTATTTTGAAACTTTTTTGTCACTAAAATTTATAATTATTTGAGTATGAGTTGATATAATGATTCAAGCGGTCTTATATATTTAGCAGCACTTCAGATTAGCTAATTCAAATTTATTTGTTAATTTTGAACAAATAAAATTTAGCTAATAAACTCAACATACATTAAATAGGTAAATTTTTACTCAATTATGTTTGTGAACATATTTGTTTTATATTTTTTTAATTATTTATTTAAATTTTAAAAATAAATATTACATTCAAATTTTGGTTATTTTAAAAAAATTTGCAGTATTTTTATCTAAATTAAATAATTTTTTTGTAATGTAAGATATAATAGAGTTATATAATTATAAACACTGTATTTTATCAATTACATAAAATATTATAAATAAAATGCAATTAAAAATATAAAAATTTTGTATTTATATTAATTGGACTTTATTATAATATCCAACTTAAACCCAGCTCCATAGTTTTTAAAGCTTAATATATTGTTTCACCCTCAACTTTAAGTTTTATTGCAATTTCATTCTAATTTAACCTTTATGTCAATTTTATCATAAACTTTAATCTTTTGTTGCAATTCACTCCAATTTAACCTTTATATCCATTTCACTCCTGAACTTTAATATTTTATTGCAATAGTATCCTAAATTATAATTAAGACTTAAATGGTAAATAAAAAATAGATTCACTTTTGATCTTGAGCTTAGATTAACTTAATACATTTGTGTAAATGGGGGTGTTTAAGTTAATAGTAAGGACAATTTCTATCATTATTTTTAATATTTTTAAATTCTTCCTTTTATTGATAATAAATAATATTTAAAAATTAATTATTTGAGACATGAACTCTTTTTTTAATTAGAATACAATTATTATTATGGTTTGATTTTAATGTAAATTTTAAAATGATTATAAAATCTAAAACAAAGCTACTATCAATTTATTTGACTCCTAAACTATTAAAAATTGTAAGATTTTTTTATCAAAATAGAATATAAAATATAATTATATTCATTTTTTTTTAAAAAAAAAAGCATTCATGTAAATAATATTATAGAAAAATTAAATTATTTGAGGACATGAACTCTTTTTTTTAATTAGAAATACAATTATTATTATGGTTTGATTTTAAATGGTAAATTTTAAATGATTATAATCTTAAAACAAAGCTAACTATCAACTTTATTTGACCCTAAACTATTAAAAATATGTAAGATTTTTTTAATTAAATAGAATAAAATCATAATTATAATTCATTTTTTTTTAAAAAAAAAAGCATTCATGTATCAAAAATTAATTTTTTAAATATTATTTATTATCAATTAAAGAAACAATTTAAAATATTAAAAATAATAATAGGATTGTCCATACTATTAAACTCCAATTCCCTTCGTTCCAAAATATACTTAAGTTGATCCACTCAAGGTTTAAGAGTTGAATCTATATATTATTTATTATCAATTAAAGAAACAATTTAAAAATATTAAAAATAATAATAGAGATTGTCCATACTATTAACCCAAATTCCTTCGTTCACACAAATATATTAAGTTGATCCAACCTCAAGGTTAAGAGTGAATCTATTTTTTTAAAAAAAATTAAGTCATAATTATAATTAGAGTGCTATTTCAATTAAAAAATCAAAATTAAGATGAAATTAGTATACAGGTCAAATTGGAGTGAAATTGCAATAAAATGTTGAAATTTAGGATGAAATTGACATAAAAATCAAATATCAGAGTGAAGTTGTAACAAAACTTAAAAATGAAAGTGAAACAATATATTAAGCCATTTTTAATTAAAGAAGGTTGAATTGAAGAATAATGTTAAAACTCAATTTAAGGTGGAGCTAATTAAAAAACGATAAACCATCAGCCTTCAATAAGAACAAACACAGGAATATCCGGTTGCCTTGAATCATCAAATGGGTATGATTTGAATATATATATATATAATGCCATTAGGTTTAAGTTTGGGTTAAGGTATAAAAAAATAATTTCATGATATAAGGTGAAGAAAACAAAGTGTATTGCAAGATTCTCTACTTTCTAAAGTTTTCAAATTAGGCTTTAGACAGCGCTCACAAAATAGAAAAAGGAAAGAAAAGCTGCCCACCATTAAGGGGTCTACCCTCTCACTCACCTAACCAAATCTTTTCAGTTTTCCCTGTTTCACACTTTTTTATTTTTGTTTCTTTTGTTTTTCTCTTTCTTTCATTTGAACTGCACCCATCCTTTCTTTCCTTTCCTTCTTCTTCTTCTTCTTCTCGCTCTCTCTCTAGACTCTGTGCAAACTTGTTCATATATCGGTCCCCCATATTAGCTATTCCACAGCAAAAAGACTTCTCTCTTTCCAGCTCTTCGAAGCATACAAGGGAAGTTATGCAATATTTTTATAGTTCAGGATTAGTTTTCATATAAAAAATTTATTTTTTTTTCTAGATAAAGTAAATTTTAAAATATTATGAAATTGTCCCAAATTTTTTATAAAATATAAAGGAAATGTTATGAAATTAGTTCCATCTTTCCAACGAATAAAAAAATTTAATTCAATTAGAACCGTATTTGTAATTTGAAATTAAGAAATTTATGAAAAATAAAATAAAACATCTATTTGATAATCTAATTATAAAATCTAAAGTTGAATCAATAAAATTAAAAGTAAGTTTATGAAAATATATTGTCATTTATTGTTTGTGGTTAGTCTTGAAATATCTTATTCATACTGGCTTTTTTCTATCATCTCATTGCGGGAAATTAAATAGGTTTGTCCTGTCAATAAAAAGCATGTGAACCCTGTCCCATATGGTGTCAATCAACTTGATTAGATTTCAATTTTGGCAAATATAAGGTCTTTGCTACGCCATTGATGAGTCCAATCATGGTAGGTAACTGCAAAATTAAATCAAATCTCTCTCTCTATATATCTATACATATACCATCTTTTTCACTTTCTTTAAAAATATAATAAGTTTAATTTTTACGTCTGATATTATCCCGTTCAGAAATATCAACAGGATATCTCCTTACAGTTTTATTTTTCAGCAAAATCTAACTGTTCTTTTCAAAAAGCCTTGTTACTGTTCTAAAGCATATCCACACTTATGTAGAATGGTTTCCTTTAAGGATGTATTAGAAGTAGTTACTAATCTAACGCGGACTGGATACGTGCGAAGAGTTTTCTAGTCGATTTCAAGAGAAAGGTGAAGAACCTTAACTGTGATCAAGTTCTGAGTGATCAAGTTCTGAACCGGATTAATCGAATCTCTGATAATAAAATCCGGATATCGATGTTTTAAAAAAATTAATAATCAATGGAGGATAGGTTACTCATCTAAATAAATGAAGTTCAAATATGCATGCATGGACCACTTTCTTTTGTGAATTGAGTGGGAGTCTTGTTATGAGCTTGAGGTCGTCGATGATTTAGGGTATTTTTAGACATATCAGATGGTGACGGTGGCTCGTCTCTCTAGTTGTAGGGCCATGCTATAGCTGGCTGCCTCGACCTGGAAGAAAAAGTAGATAAATTTATTCATGGGCGTTAAAAAGTTTTTGATCCCCGACATGCTTAAACTTTGCCCATTTTGAAATTTGACTGGTTGGTTTTTACTTGCAAATGTGAAATCTGGGTGTAAGTGGGTGTAGACGTAAGACCTCTAGTTCTTGTAAGTCGGGCTTTTTTCTATAGTCTTTGAAAAACTTTCCTTTAACTGATCACATGTTTGTCTCTCTCTCTCTTTTTTTAAACTTAACAATTCATTACTAATAAATGTATGTTACAGAATAAAAAAAATTCAAATATAAAAAATTGAAATTTTCTATTGGAAATGATCTTGGCAGAAAAAATTAATATTAAGAGTAAAAATTTGTCTACTTTTAAATAATATGGCAAAAAAAACTTTCTACAATTTATCTTGAATTTTATTTTCGGAAACTTCTGACAACTTAAACCTTATATTAAACTACATGTTGTACTATCATACTCTACTAGTAAAAGAAACTTAATCGAATTTGAAAATCTAAAGTCTCCAACTACAATCAACCAATAATCCATCTCGTATTTCAAATTACCGGAGAAATAAAAATTCTACATAAAATTCCTCAATAATAAGGAACAATTCCATGAAAGGAGGAAAATTAATAAATCAAAACACACAATTCCACTAAGAGCGTACCAAAAACACTTAAGATTTATCAATTATTATAGATTTAAATAAATCCAAAATTTGTTCCTAATAATCACAATTTTTTTTGAGAAGAAAATGAAATTAGAAATTTCATTAAAAGGAAATTATATACAGATATGAGATACAGATTATTATTTTTTTATATTTTTGTATAGAAAGTCTAATAATAAACTGTTTATAAAAAGAATAAAAAAAAACACATCGTATAGGAAGTCTAATAATAAATTATTTATACTAAAAATAAAAAAAACACAATCTTGATTTGAAATATCTGATCAAGTTGACAAAATATAATATTTGTGCCATAAGCGATCGCTTGCTCCACTTGGTGGCTATTCATGGCAACTGTTCCATTTTATGGTCTTTCTACAAGTTCGATCTAATCACCTTTAAATTTCTCCATTCTAGTAAGGAGATCTGCAATTCTCTTTGTATAACTGTCCAAATAATAAAATATCATAAATAAAATCATCATAATAGTGATAACAACAACTCAGAACTAGATCTGAGAACA